CCCTGATCTCAGCTGGGGCAGGGACTGTCTCTCGCTGTGTCTGTGCAGCGCCCGACACAACGGGGCCCTGATCTCAGCTGGGGCAGGGGCTGTCTCTTGCTGTGTCTGTGCAGCGCCCGGCACAACGGGGCCCTGATCTCAGCTGGGGCAGGGACTGTCTCTCGCTGTGTCTGTGCAGCGCCCGGCACAACGGGGCCCTGATCTCAGCTGGGGCAGGCTGGGGAGGGGGGAGTGCAGAGGGGACAGGGCCTGGCTGAACTGGACAGATGGGCTGTGGATTCATCTCTCTCCCCGGGGAGTGGGGCTGGAGGGAGCGGGCTGGGGAGGGGGGAGTGCAGAGGGGACAGGGCCTGGCTGAACTGGACAGATGGGCTGTGGATTCATTTCTCTCCATGTGTTGTTTCAGACAAAGTGGTGAAGAAAGGCAAGAAGGACAAAAAGACCAAGAAGTCGGTAAGAAGCGGGACTCTTGGGGGGAGGGGGGAGCTCTGACACAAGGGCCTAGCAGGTCAGGCTGGAACTCAGGAGACTCCAGTGCTTTGGGACTCGGATTAAATCACTTCTCCTTTTTGTGCCTCGGTGTCCCGTCCCACCGTGTGTCTGCTTATACAGACTCACTCTCGTTGTGTGTCTGCAGCGCCCGGCACAACGGGGCCCTGATCTCAGCTGGGGCGGGGCCTGTCTCGTTGTGTGTCTGTGCAGCCACCATAGGGCCCTGATATTTAAAACGGGAGTAAGTAGCTGGATCTCTCAGACCTCACCGCTAGGGGCTGTGAAAGGAACGGTGGCTGGATCTCCCCTAGCACAATGCAGTCTCAGGGGAAGGGGGTGAGTGTGAGTGAACCCGTGACTGCTCCCCAGCCGGTGTGCCTTTCCCTCACCACAGGGGCCAGGGAGATGGGGTAGGGGAAGCAGAGCTCTTATCTTTCCCTTCTGCCCCAGTTCTTTGAAGAGTTGGCTGTGGAGGAGAAACAAGTCAGCGAGCAGCAGGCCGTCCTTAAAGAGAAGGAGCAGCAGCAGCAACAGGTGAGCAGAGGAACGGGATCCCTCCCGCCGGCTGCTGGGTGTTCTTGTAGGACCTACAATAAACAGGCTGTCGGCAAGGGGTGCTCTGCTTGGGGAGCGTCCATCCCCAGGTTGTCACGGGGCGTGGGCAGATCTGAGCCCCCGTCTCTGTGCCCCCCCTCCCTTCCCAGCTTCAACAACAGAAAAAGAAACGGGAGAAGAAGAAGGAGAAGAAGAAGAAGGACGCGGAAGACGATGAGGAAGAGCACCAGCTGATCGAGAAGCTGAAGAAGCTGTCGGCTCAGGGCAGCGATGAGGAGGAAGAGGGTGAGGCAGGGAGGCGCGTGTTTGGGTTCTAGCTGCAGATCTAGGAGGGAATGGAGTCGAGTGGGCTAGAGGGGGGTGTCTGGGGGCCAGGACCCCTGGGTTCCATTCCCAGCTCTGGCCAGGGAGTGAGGACCAGCTGTCAGGACCAGCGCTCGGCGCTCCTGGGTTCTGTACCCTCCAGTGACTCGTTTGGCCCACCTTGCCGCAGTTTCGTGCCCTGCGATGTGGTACATGGTGGGGAACGCCCGGCGTGGTGGGCGCAGTTAGTGGCTGCGGCGGCCCCCCCCCTGCCACGAGCCCAGCCCCTCCGGAGACCCGCCCCCTAGCAGTGGGTCACTCTCGGGGACAGGGCTGAGTGAGAAGCAAGGGCCTCCCTTCTCCATAGCCTGCCTTTCCCCCAGCTTCCACCCCATCACTCCAGCCCTTGTGGAGCGACCTCCCAGCCCCCAGGACTGCAGCAGGGACCTAGAGGGGGGTAACGCACCAGGAGACCATCATAGGGCCAGCTCCCCATAGGGCGAGCGGCTGCATCTCCGTTCCATCGCTTCCTAAAATCCTTCTCTCGTTTCCTTTCCGGACAGGAAGAAGAAGGTGAGAGTCGGGGCTGGAAGGGGCGCGTACTAGACTCGGGCTGCAAGAGGATGAGGTGGAAGGAGCGCTAGGGTTTGGGGTCTCTGTCTAGACTCGGGCCGGGCTGGGGATTCGGCCGTAGGCGACCGTCTTGCCCCGGTTGAGGTGGGAGCTGCTGAGGCATCCAACTGGGGGATTGGTGATAAGAGCTGATCCTGCGCTGGGTTTCCAGGGGGGTCTCTGGTGAGGGGCAGAGAGACGTCCGCCCTTCGCTGACGACCTTGACTTGACCCTCCACGCAGGGAGGGAATGTGTTTGCCGCCCTGAGCCAGGAGCAAAGCGAGGAGGAGGAGGAGGAGGAAGAGGAGACACCGAGACCGGCCAAACCCAGCAAGAACAAGATCAGCAAGGTTCGCTCGCTCGGACCACGTCTCGCACGGACGGGGATGGGGTCGTCTTCTAGCGGGTTACAGCAGTGCGGGTCTGGGGGCTTGGGCTCCTGGGTTCTGTCCCTGTTTCTGGGAGGGGAGTGGGGCCTAGTGGTTAGAGCAGGGAGGCTGGAAGGCAGAACTCCTGGGTTCCCAGCCCCCTGGGAGGCCAGATCAGCAAGGTTCGCTCGCTCGGACCACGTCTCGCACGGACGGGGATGGGGTCGTCTTCTAGCGGGTTACAGCAGTGCGGGTCTGGGGGCTTGGGCTCCTGGGTTCTGTCCCTGTTTCTGGGAGGGGAGTGGGGCCTAGTGGTTAGAGCAGGGAGGCTGGAAGGCAGAACTCCTGGGTTCCCAGCCCCCTGGGAGGCCAGGAAGT